TACACATAATCACTTTATCACACAGACACATTTTCTACTTTCTAACAGGCATGGGGTTTGGCTGTCTTCTCTGCCCTTTGAGAGGCCTGGGGGGTGGGAGGTGGGAGTGAAGGGAGACAGCGTCCTGGAGGCTGGCTTCAGAAAGTAATGATATATGAAAAAAGGGTGGCATCAGTTCTTGAAGGATCTGGCGAAAGATCAACGACAGACAACATTTGCACTAAGCTGGTTCTTCCTGTGGCAAGATGAAAGCATATTGTTACCCAAACAAAACAAACAGATTATTAAACCTGGCTGCACTTTTCTACAGCCTTTCCACGGTGTGGGATGAAAGCAGAGTCATATTTTATTTTATTTATCTTTCTCACTGCCACCCCCATCACACATACCTCAAAAAAACCCCTTTTGCTCTCTTTGAGCCTTCATGTGCTGCTAAACTGTCACACCAAAGAACTATGGACTGTAGATGTGTGTGTGTGTGTGTGTGTGTGTGTGTGTGTGTGTGTGCAGGGAGCCCGTTTCAACAAGGGTGTTTTAAATTTTTTTGAAACTGGTGCAAACAAAGAAACAAAGCCCGTTTCAACAAGGGTGTTTTAAATTTTTTTGAAACTGGTGCAAACAAAGCTTTTCATCTCTAGGCATTGAAAGCACAGAATAAAACCCACAGTTTGCTTTCTGAGCAGCTTCCTATTATCACATCGCCACTTAATTTTATTTCTATTCTCTCCAAGTTAAATAGAAAGACTGGCTCACAAGGGAGCTGCCATGTGCCTACAGACTGGGGATGTCAAGCAGAGAGACTCACTGTGCAAAGTTAATTTCAATTCCCGAGGAGGATTTCACATTCCGGCTGGCTCTGACCCACAGTAATTAGCTGAGATAACTAATGATTACTTACTTATTCCTTGTAATTATCTGGATTTAATAATTTGCTGTGTAATTTATTAATTTGCTCATAATAGCCTTTCAGTACTGGGAATGGCTCTCTTAAAGGGGCAAAGCAGGAAAAAAATCAGTGATTTTTTTGTCTCATTGCCATAAATCTGTCTCCTGACAAATGTAGACTTCAGGAGCATTTCTATCACAATCATCTGGAACCTTTGTCTTTCTTGTTGTTCCATCAGGATACAACTTTTTTTTCTTCTGTTGCAGCCCCTCCCTCCAAGGCCAACTACAAAGTTAAGTGCATGCATGCAGTTTTGAGTTCTAATGTGGACCATTTATACTTGGAGATATAAATTATTTTCAACAAACAAGTGAAAAGATGAATTTCTAAACTTACTGTCATGGCTTTCCTAGAAAAATTTGAGATTCATTTTTTTCATTAACATGCCTTTTAAAATCAAGTAAAAAAATGTAATACCTTTTTCACATCTCCTCAGAGCTTCCCCAATAGATACATCAAAAGTAACTTATTCGTTTTAAGTTTGAAATAAAGCATGTTTACCACACAAATTCTAATTCTGTTGGCAAAGAGAGGTCTCAGAATCTTTTACTGTGAAAAGACTTAGTTATGTTTTGTTGTTTACTTTAAAAAATACATTTTATAGAAAAACAGGAGAGTATTTCATTGAATGTAAATCTTATTTCATTTGCTTTTGCATAGTTCCATTTTCACCCAAGTTTATCTGTCAATGAAACTTAGTCGAACAAGAGAATTGACCAACTGATTTAATGTCAAATATCCAAAGGAAACTGCATTTTTCTAGATAATATTATAATCCAATTGGTGTAGAGAGTACTTAGGTAACAATCAGGCCTTACTCGATCTTTGCTGTTAGTCATTTATTCCATTCTAGTTTAGATTTAGATAATCACTTGGAACAAAAGGATTGGATCATTTGCCTTTATAAAAGTTTAAAAAATAAACTACAAAGTTCTGAAATATCAAATTGAGGATGACTAGATGTACTGCTAATTCAATATATAAATATCAATTTCCAATAGAAAGTATTGTGAACCTTGAGGAAATAAAGTTAGAAAAGGAGTCATGAATGCCTATGGATTTGATTGATATGACAAAGATCTTCAGCCTCAATTTGCTATTTATCCATCTGAATATTTTGAAAGTCAATACCAAATGGATATTTCTCAACAATGTATACAGGATTCACTCCACTCTTACTTTTCATTTCTTTAAGATCAATTCTCTTCTTTCTAAATCTCTTTGGTTTGTTTTGGTATGTCTCTGCAACTCTAATTAATAAAAACTTTCATAATACATTTTTCCTAAAATTCTGCTCTTCTCATAAAGCAAACACATTTAAGCAGGGTTCATTAATGGATATAATTTCCATCTTGTAGGCAAGAGAGGTGGGGGGAGGGGTTACCCTTGTACTTCAAAATGCACTAAAGAGGACACTTATTTCTTTTCTATTCACTATGTTTCTCAACTTATACTACTTACACTGGATTTATCTCTTTATTTGAAGGTGTCATATTTGTGAAAGAAAACTAGCACACTTGTTTTTCCCCTAACTGACTCCCCTCTCTCTTAATGCACCCATCCTAGACCCTTAGATAACAGTCACATATAGGAAGAAGGAGGTGCTATTTATTGAAGACAATTTTTATCCTAGATTAGCAAGCCTGATTTGCTACATACTCAACCCATTTAATTCATTTCCCCCACTCTGCAAAAAAATAAGCAAGCAGAAAGTTCTCCAGGTGGCTAGAACTGCACTGTCAAAACATGTTGGAGTAGGGCCCAATCATGTGGTTGCTATCCGTGGTGCTGAAATCAGTATCCAGCGCAGTGAGATTGAAGGTTGGCTATTTAAAAAGACTTTCAGAAAAACTGAATCTAAAATAGGGGATGAAATGGAAGAAGGGACTTTCAAACTCCAAGACACGGGATCAAAATTAAACCATCAATATCACTATATCTTAATTCATAATTCTTTCTTTTAAATCCCTATAACTTTCGGTTTTCTTAGGCATCTATGCAATGCATCCTATTATTTCGAAATGGACACGTGGATTTCGTTTCTTCAAGGGTCTTCTTATTTCAGATATAGGAAGATAAATTCTTCTACCCATTACCCATCCAACTTTTACAACTTTTTGTTACATCTGAAAATCACAATCAGTTTTCCAACAACATTTAACCCCAACTTGAGTCACTATAACAATTTTCATTGACTCATAGTATATTACCTATCTTCATCCTCAAAATAAGAAATACCCCCAGACAATTCCATATTAGAAGGGTCACAGCTCAAGTTAGCAGAATTACCCCTGGTGGATGACCTGTTTCCTCTCTTGTTGGACTTATAGATTAGTTTGATGTTTCATCATTAATAATGCAAGTATCTAAACTAGAGCTTTCCTGGGGGGGGGGGGGGGGTGAGTCCCTAATATGTTGCTCAACTGTTGTAAGAAGTCTTAAAATTATTTAAATGGGTAAGGAGGTGTCTTTAAACTATGATCACAAAAAAGAAAAGTCTGTGTATCAAATATGCAAAATTTCTTTGTGCCAGACCACTGTTAGACAGACTTCCAGCAACTCTGATTGTCTGTGTGAGTCATAGAAAGGGGGCAATAGTTTGCTCCTTCTAACCACCTAGGCAATAATTTGCTCCTCAACCCCACTCTACATATTGTAGAATGTGGGTTTCCTTAAAGGTATGGGAAAGAGGGAGGGAAGGTGGGAAGCAGGGAGGGAGAGAGGGAGGGAGAGAGTAAGGGAGAGAGAGAGAGAGAGAGAGAGAGAGAGAGAGAGAGAGACTATACTTCCTGCTCTGATTTGGGGGCACTGCTTCCCAGGAGTGGTAGCTAAACTGAGGACTATGGAGGACCAGCCCCTAGGCCTCAACCAGAGTTTCCTACTCTCCCAACTAGGTCTTGACTCTTGACATACCCAGTCTCCCAGGGCTACTGAAAACCAAACTGAGTTCCTTTCTTCCTTTTACTCATGCAACACCTCTACTCACAAAGATTCTCTTTGCAGAATTATTGCAGACCCAGGGAAAGGACTCCCAAGGAGGTATTTAGAATCACATATCCTGATCTCAACTGGGCAGAAAAGCAAAGCACCCTGTGAGATGAGCTCTGACTGTTAGGAGTCCATGAAAATCCTGTCATTTTACACTTTCTTAGAGAAACACCTCCTACTAAATCCAAGTCAGACTTTGATAACAGTCTCTCCATAATAAACCATAAAATGTGTTTCTGTTTTTAAAAAATTCCCTATCAAAATAATTCCAATGTAAATGATTTAAAACATCACATTTTAAAAGCCATTTAATTTTAATAGCACATTTTAATGAAAAAGCAGCATACTTTGCCAATAAAACATTAAAATCATCTCTTCAATGAAAGACAATCAAACCACACCAAAAATAATACATTACCATAGTAAATAAACCATCTATTAACAAAAACAAGAAACCAGGTCATATACAGAACTCAAGACTTTGGAGATCCTTAGATGGAACAGCAATACAGCAAAATTTGTAAGAATATATCTATATGTGTATCGTTTTGAATGAAATATTTACAGTAGATAAGGTACCAGTCATCATGTACCCATTTTTTTGTTCCAAAAGAATTTTACCAGACAATGTGAATTTACAAGCAGTGCACTGTCTTTCTTTGAGAAAAATTAGTTTTTCTACAAACAAACCTCCAAAAGGAAAAACCGAAGGAATCCTGTAAATGTTAAAATGTAGTTAACAAAGCAATTGAAAACCAGAAGACTGAAATACCTTGGTGAAATCTTAGAATCTGGAAGAACAAACACCAAGTGGCAAATGCACCAAAAGCTAGAAAATGATGCATTATAGTCATGTTTCCAACTGCTTCACTTCTTCTCTTCCATTAGAGGTGTGTGTGTGTGTGTGTGTGTGTGTGTGTAAAAGGGTGTGTAAGAGCATGTACAGTGGGGACAATGTGGGAATCCCCATTAAATATGTAACGAAGTAAACAATACTTTGGACAGTGAATCAGGTCTACACGATTAAGACATCCATTACTGAGTGCCATGTGTGTGTGGTGTGTGTGTGTAAAAGGGTGTGTAAGAGCATGTACAGTGGGGACAATGTGGGAATCCCCATTAAATATGTAACGAAGTAAACAATACTTTGGACAGTGAATCAGGTCTACACGATTAAGACATCCATTACTGAGTGCCAACTCACAAATCAGAACACTACCAGTAAAAACAAAGAAAAAATTCTTCATTCCAAGTGAGCATATACAAATGGGCTGAAAGAAACACAGTGTTAATAGGAAAGCTGTAAAAATTCAGTAAACTCATCAAACATAAACATTTTTAACTTCACTAACCATACTCCCCCCCATTTTTTAAGACTAAAGAAGTTTAATTAATTAGAATGTTTACAAATTAAGTTGCCAGAGAGATAAATTAATAATTTACAGAGGGTTGTTCGGCAATAATCTAATAATAGCTTTCAAGATCAGTGAACACAGCAGGCGCAACTCCTTTCTTAAGCATTAACACTTCAGAGAAGGACGAAGGGGGTAAGAACCACAATAAAAATATATATATAATATACAGTGTAAATGCAGAAAATCTGCCATCTTTTTTAAAATTCAAAATACTTTAGAGATGTCTCTGTCACATTAAGCATCAACTCTAGTTTAAAGTTTCAGTCCTGAATCAATTTCTATTTCTGAAAAATAGCTGCAAAGTGTACTTTTAAACTTGAACAAGGGTGATGTCTTTAGGAATAAAAACAAATCTTACTTGATCATTCTGGGGGCCTTTCAAAGGGCTGTCTCTTCTGCCTTCCCGCAAACAGCCAGCCCCCAGGCTTCCTCTGCGGAAGTCCAGGTGCCTTTTCCGGGGTGGGGTGGGGCTCAAAGGGACAACTTTGCTGCAACTTGACAAATCCCTTCTTTTGTTTTTCTTTCCTTGCAGGAGTCGTTTCACATTCTCACCAGGCTTGCGGCTCAGCTGCGCGCTCACTCTCCAATCCCCCACTTTCTCTGGATTCACATTTACTGGAATGATTTCTGGTCGCCAAACGTGGAAAGAAAAAGGCAGGAGAGAGAGGGGGGGGAGGAAAAAGAGAGGATGAGGAGGGGATTGTCCCTGGAGAGGCCAAGGGTCTCCTAAATGCCCGCAGAATATTTCATTCTTTTCTGTTTCTGCCTCTGGTTGCAGAACCAGACGCGCACCACGTTTTTCTTAAGGTCCAGCTTCTCCGCGATGGCAGCGATCTTCTCGGAGGAGGGCCGCGGCTGGATGGCGAAGTAGGCTTCCAGCGAGCGTTTCTCCGGCGCCGCGATGGATGTGCGTTTGCGCTTCTTCTCTGCGCTGTTGAAGAGCTCGGGCTTGGTGAGCTTCTCGCGGTGGGACTTCTCGGCCTCCTCGAGCCATGCTTGCAAGATGGGTTTGAGCGCGATCATATTGTTGTGCGACAGCGTGAGGGACTCAAACCTGCAGATGGTGCTCTGGCTCAGCGAGCCCACGCCGGGGATCTTGAGGTTGGCCAGCGCGGAGCCCACATCAGCCTGGGTCACCCCCAGCTTGATGCGTCGCTGCTTGAAGCGCTCGGCGAATGCCTCCAGGTCCCGGGGGTCGGCGTCCACGTCGCTCATGCAGCCCATGTGTGAGGGCAGCCCGTGAGTGTGGGCCATGCTGAGCGCTGCTTGATGCATGGGGTTCATGGTAGCCATGTGCGGCGCATGAGCTGGCGTGGATACCACCGCGCCGTCGGGGCCCGCCATGGCACCCAGCGCCAGCCCCGGACTCAGGTGCTCCAGCAGCTCTCCCTCCAGCGCCTGGTGCGGCTGATGGTGGTGGTGGTGGTGGTGATGGTGGTGGTGGTGCGTGCCCGCCAGCGCGGACGGGTGCGAGATGGGCACCGACGAGGAGGAGGCAGAGGACGTGCACGGGATGGTGTTCATGGTGTGGTAGGTGGCGTCCGGCTTGAAGGGGCTGTGGTGGGGCGGGTGGTGGTGGTGGCTCTTGCTCTGGGAGACGATGTCCACGGCCGCCAGAGCCTCGGCGCGGGCCAGCAGACTCTCATCCAGCCCGCCGAATATATTGCTCTGCAATTGCAAGTAAAAGGCACACATTACGCTCAGCAGGGAATTGTGCGCGCGCTCTCCGGAAGCACCGGCCCTTCTCTCCACACCGCGGCCGCGCCTACAACATTCCCAGAACGTTAAAATAATAATAATTAGTAGCAACAGTAATAATCCTGAAATTTGCAGGTGAGGAGGAGAGGCAGGAAGCCACCCAGAGAAACTGAGCGTGCACGAGGAGGAGGAATGTGAGCCTGCAAACACAACACAACACAGCACGCGCACAGGCAACATCCCAGGTCATAAAAATTAATATGAAAGGAAAGACCCGCTGAATACATAAGAGAGGGGGGGGAAATTGGTTGGAGGTGTGGGGTGATTTGCTGTGCAGACATGAAAAAAACATCAAGCAGATAAAGGGGCTGTCAAAATGTGCCTCTAAGCGGTGATTATGCAGAAATACGCACCGGTGGGGTTGGAAGACACGCTCTCCGCATCGCCTCGGAACCCCCGCCGCCGCCGCTACCACTGCTGCTGGAGCTGCTGCTCCGGCCTCCGCCGCCACCGCCGCCGCCACTGCCGCCAGCATTGCTGGAGCTGCTGGGAGAGCTGGCCGCGGGCGCCGCAGGAGCGGAGGAGCCGGGAGAGGCACTGTGCAGTGCCGAGTACTTGGGCTCCACGTGCAGGCTGCTGCCGTGCGGCATGCTGAACGCCTGCTTGCTGTTCAGGGACATCATCATCATCTTCCCAGCCGGCCGGAGCGCTGGTCCGTAGCGCAAGAAGTGACCCCGGCTGCCCGGACCCTCCCGAGAAGTGCTGGTCAAGAGCGGCGGCGGGACCGGCGGTGTAAAGTTGCGCTCCCCCGCCGCTGCTCCGAGCTTGGCGCGTCTTGCCCCGGCTACGCGCTCCTCCGCTGGCTCCGGCGTCAGTCTGATCGGGTGCTAGGCTCCGCTAGGCGCTAGCTGCAGACCTGGCCGCCCGAAAGTGCCCCCGCGCCTCGCGACAGCGGAGTTATACTCCCCTCTCCCTGCGCCTGCCCCCGCACCCCCTCCTGCCCTCCCTCCCGCGCGCCTCCGCCCTCCCCTGTTCGAGTCTATCTTCGCCCCTTCTCCGCCTCTGCTCCCTCCAGGCTCCGGCCCTTTCAGATACCCGCCTTCTGCTCTCCCGCCGCGCCCTCCACCTTCCCTTTGGGCTCCAGCCGGCTCCGACGCCACCGCCCCTTCTCGGCGCCCCGCAGCTCTCACTTACCTTAGTGCCCTCTCCACCCCACCCACTGGCCAGGTCTACACTCCAGTCCGGGGGCAGTTCCTACTTAGGAGCTGGCCTCCAGCCCCTTCTGGAGACCCACCTCACCGGGAAACGGAACTCCTAAGTAAAGTTGCGGGCCAAGCCAACCTCGAGTGGGGTTTTCCCTAGACTGCTAAGAACGTCTCTTACCTGGCTGCCTCCCCCGCCTCCTGTTTACCGCTAAGTTCCACGCCTCCGCCCCCACTTGGCCCAACCCTCCCCGCAGCTCTGGTGACCCTGATCCCAGGCTCCCCGCCACACTGGTGGACCCGGATGCTGCCCTCGACCGGGTTCCTCCGCGCTGCTCTGCGCTTCCCGTCCAATGCGCGCAGTGGTTGGTGCTCTGCTCTGCACCCCCTCGGCCCGGCGGGTGCCTGGTGCCCAAGAGACCGGGGGTCGACAGGGCTGCAGGGCTTTCTCTCCCTCGGCTCCTCGCCGCTCTCAGCGGATTGGACGGCCTCTGAGCAGGCTCGGGTCGCCTGTGCGCATGCGACTCCCCCCTCCGCCCCTTGTCCCCGCGTACTCCCCCAGCACCACCACCGACACACACTCCTCTCCACCCTCTTTTCTCTTCCTACGGATCTTTCTCCTCCTCCTCCCTGTATCCAGTTCAGTGTGAGTTGGGTCTTGGGCGGATCCATGGGCAAACCCTGCCGTTGGATTTATTATTCTTCATTAGCCACAATCAAAGGAGAAAGGGGCAAATGACAGAGGGAGAGGCAGGGCCAGAGATCAAAAAGCGCATGTGCTACTGAACTCCCAACACACACACCCCATCACACACACACACACACACACACACACACACACACACGCCCTCAAGGGCTGGCACAAGTCCCACTTATCTTCATTTCCACAGCCACTCGGTGAAGAGATAGCCTATTTTTAGCCAATACTTTTGTCCCAGTGGGTACCACTTTTCTTAGAAGTGGACACACACTGTTCCAATTGTAAAAGAAGGAGACAACCTCTCCTACACACACACACACACACACACACACACACCACAGCCTTCCTCTCCTCCCCGCTCTTCTCTCTACTTTCCTTGGTGTTGGGGGCTGCTGTCACCTCCCCAGAGCGCGGAAGGAGCGGGGTGCAGGTGAGGGTGAGAAGGTCCCGACGCTGGAGCCGGCGGGTGGCAGACGAGGACGGGGGTGGCTGGGAGCAGGTGCAGGCACACAGTGCCTGGGGAAGGCGAGCAGGTGCGAGAGCAGGCGGCAGGCCTGAGAGGCGCTGGCGCGCGCTGGGACAAAACAGAGTGGGAGGAAGCGTGGCGAAGGGGGGCCATCGAGTGGTCAGCACCCGGAAGCCCCGCGGCAGCAGCAAGAAGGGGGCCGCCGGTTGACCCCTGACCTCAGCGGGGCGGGACGCCAGGTTCAAATTGGGAGCATAGACTTTGCTACACGCCAGGACTGGGAAGATGCCGCTAACAGCATGCGACGGGATCTGTCCATGGTCCTTAACCCCCTTGCGCTTTCCTGTGCTACTCCCAGGTTTGCCTTTCTCCTCCCTTCTGTGGAGGAATACGTAAATAGTAGCCAAAGAGGATTCCTCCTACCTTCAGTAGCTGAGCCGAGGGGCCTGGACAAGAGACTGGAGAGGGGTTGTTGACATAAATGAATGTGGCTTGCCCCCCGGACGGTTCAAGTAAATGTTTAGGTGTTTAATTTCTATATCAACAACAGCCAGGGTAATTTTCAAGGAAATAAAAAAAATGACATTGTACAGCTCTCACTGTCTCAAGCTTCGAGAAATGAAATAAATCAAAGTTAAAAGCTTGAGTATCATTTAATTATAGTGCGAATAGCGCTTTGAAAGAAGTAGAGCAACATCTCTAAACAAATTATGACTGGGCCAGGAAGGAATTATTAGATTGAAATTTCATTTAGGCTCGGGAGACACCGCGCTTCACTGTGTAATCTGCTATGCCTCATCTGATTTGTATGCTTAATTCAGCTTGACGAATTTATTAGTTTTCATAATAGTGAAAATATTGAGCAGCACTATGGGCTAATGCATTGTATGTACTATAAATTGTATGTCATCGTGGAAAGGCTGAAGTCTATAGAAATCTTTTATTAATGCCAGCATTGGAGGGAGGATTTTTGTTCAAGCCTTGGAGAGGTTCACACCAAACTCCACTGTTGCTCTGTCTCACTTGCCCATTAACATACTGTCATACTAATTAGACTACTTCATCAGTGATATAATTTCAAACTTTAAATTATGTTCTAATTAACAAGGGTTGTCCAATTTGCTTAATCTTCAAAAGGTTTTGGATAGTCTAATTAGTATAAACTGTTGAGCATCTCTAAAGCCTAATAAAAAACCCATTAAAATATTTTGGGTATGTTTTCTATCAATTCTGTGTAAGGTTAACATGGCTCGTGAGAGTGCAGGAAGACAGTAACTGGAAGACAAATATATGCATCTACCTAGTTTCCCCAGATTATAATACTAAGTGAATCACAGGAGAAACTTTGGGTATTGCATCTCCTAAACAATCTGTGTGTTTATTTTATTTTTTAAAATATATTTTATTGATTTTTTACAGAGAGGAAGGGAGGGGGATAGAGAGTTAGAAACATCAATCAGCTGCCTCCTGCACACCTCCTACTGGGGACATACCCTTGACTGGAATCGAACCTGGGACCCTTCAGTCCGAAGGCCAACACTCTATCCACTGAGCTAAACCGGCTAGGGCTGTTTGTGTGTTTAAATTAAGGTGTAAGAATATCAAGGAGACTCAACACACACACACACCACAAACAATCCAATTAAAAAATGGGCATAGAACCTGAATAGACACTTCTCTAAAGAGGATATATAGATGGCCAATAGACATATGATAAGATGCTTGACATCACTAATCATCAGAGAATGCAAATTAAAACTACAATGAGGTATCACCTCACACCTGCCAGAATGGCTACTATCAACAAATCAACAAACAACAAGTGCTGGCAAAGATATGGAGAAAGGGGAAACCCTGGTGCACTGTTGGTGGAAATGCAGATTGGCAGATTGGCTATGGAAAGCAGTATGGATTTACATAAAAAATTAAAAATGGAACTGCTGCCTTGTGAAGTGATTCCACTTCTGGGAATATATCTGAAGAAACCTTGATTCAAAAGAATATATGCACCTCTGTGTTCATTGCAGCATTATTTACAATAGCCAAGAGTTGGAAGCAGCCCAAGTACCCATGAGTAGATGAGTGGATAAGAAAGCAGTGGTACATTCATGCAATGGAATATTACTCAGCTGTAAAAAAGAAGGAAATCTTACCTTTTGGGACAGCATGAATGGACCTGGAGAGTATTATGCTATGTGAATTAAGCCAGTCAGAGAAAGACAAATACTATACGATTTCACTTATTTGTGGAATCTAACGAACAAAAGTAATTAACAATATAGAAACAGACTCATAGATACAGAGAACAGACTGACAGCTGTTAGAGGGGAGGGGAATTGGAGGGCTGGGTGAAAAGATGAAGGGATTAAGAAAAAATTGAGGGAAAAAGAATATCAAGGAGAAAAAACCACATGGGGGAAAGATTCTTCTCTTTCATTAGGTGCCTAATTAGATGTAAAGTGAAAAGCAACCCTGAGGAGTTTCCCAAGCATTGTTGTGGCAACAGTCTGCTGAACTTGGATTGCAAAATCAAATATTGGGGGTGTTTTGAACCTCTCCCTGTCCCCTCCTCCTTTATTGAGCTTAATTACTTGCAATAGTTGTTTTAATGTATGTTGTCACCTGGGAGTATTGAGAAATGCATATCGTTAATATGAATTAATCTTGATTTTAATAGCAACTGACAACTGATCTCCAAAATGCTAAACACTTGTCACCATTCATATGGTAAATAAGGTAGTATAATAAATTCATGAAATAAAAAGGGCACTGTTAAAATAACTGGGGGAAAAACTTTGTTTGATATGGAGTTTATTGACTGAAACTATTTTAAGCAGGGCAGCTCCCAAGAGAATATTTCCTGATGGCTAAAATCCATATAGCCTTAAATTAATTTCAATATAATTTTTAAAAATCTCCCAGATATTTCTCAGTGATATCTCTAATTCCAGGCAGGAAAAAAAAAAAACAAAGCTCTTCATGCTAATTATCAAGTTGAGATAAAATGTGTAGTTGTCAAGCAGTTCAAGAGTTTACTTCCTATATTCCCTTCCCCTGAAAAATACACTTTTTAAAAAACTTCTAGAGTTAGATTTCCGCTTTTCTCACCTGAAGTGAAATATGAACAGCAGTAATTTGTTTCATTAGTGGGAAAATGCAATACTTCCTTCATCACCAGGACTTGCAGTCTTGCAATCATTCCTTCCAGGAGTGTCCAGAATACCAACATATTTGCAGTGATGTCAAGAAAACCCATTTTCGTTTTGCCCACAGGCATTGCTGCAAAGTGCTCCAGTAAGTGTGGAAGCTGCTCACCGATGAAGAAAGACTCCGGCCTCCCAGCGAGTGGAGGTCTTCTAGAGCACTGGATAGTTGGGAATAAACCCAAGGGTGGAAGGAGAAGGCCCAGTATCTGAAATCTGCTTCATATGACCTCAACATACACTTTTATGCCCAAGCACCTATCCACGTTGGTGCCTCTGCACACCTACAGACTTACCTACTAAACCAAAAACAACAAAGTGACTTTTAAAGCACAGAAATGAAAAATGGATAAACTGTG